GATGGGTATCAGACAACAATTCACCGCACCATACACACCAAAAGAGAATCCGTCCGAACGAGAAAAAAGAACAGTCAAGACCATGATTGCAAAATTTGCAGGGCAGAACCAGAGAAACTGGGACGGGAAGTGGCTTGAGATTATGCTAGCAGTGAACACGAGTACATCAGAATCCACCGACCACGATGTACGATGGCCCTTACCAGGATGTAGATTTCATCTTTCCAGTGATCTGCAAAATACGCCACACACGTTCAAAGAAAGAACGGACCGTTCACGTTAGCGAGCTCAAGCAACAACACAATGAACAGGATTACGCCAGGCGGAAAGGACGCTTACGAGGACGGCACAAGGATACGGGTAACGATAAGGAATCCACCCGCAAGGAAACAGGATTCAGCATCGGGCATTTGCTAGAGTCATCCGTGATTACGCCAGGCGGAAAGGACACTTACGAGGACGACAAAAGGATACGGGTTACGATAAGGGACCCACCCGCAGGGCAACAGGATTAAGCGTCGGGCTTTTGCCAGAATTATCAGTGGTTACGCCAGGCGGGAAGGACACTGACAAGGACGGCACAACAACAGTAGCAAAAGCAAATCATTCAAACAGGAAGGATACCCCAAGGATACCGTAAGGATACCTCAACGATACCCCAAGGATACCCTAAGGATTTCCGAAGGATACCCGAAGGAAACCCGAAGGATACCCGAAGGATACCCGAAGGATACCCGAAGGATACCCGAAGGATATCCTAAGGATACCCCAAGGATTCCCGAAGGATACTCTAAGGATACCCCAAGGATACACCAAAGATACCCCAACGATACTCCAAGGATTCCCTTAGTATAGCCGTAGTATACCCTAAGGATACTCCAACGATAACTTAAGGATACCCGAAGGATACCCCAAGATACTCCAATGATACCCCAAGGATACTCTAAGGACTCCAAGGATACCGCCCAGGAACGCCCCATGGATACTCCAAGGATACCGCCCAGGAACGCCCCGAAGGATACCCTCCAAGGACAACCTTCAGGGATACTCAGCAAGGGTGATCAAAGTTAGGGTCTCAAAGCAAGTTAGTTAGGGAACTCAGAGGAACAACGAACCGCAGCATTCAGAGTGCCACTATGATCTGACGGAGTACAACGTTTGTGTTTTACGAAGGAAGGGGGAATACGGCACAGCAAAGAGAGCTGTACCGCAAGAGAGCAAGCGCCCCAGGAAAGGACATAACGGTGTCGATCAAAGAGAAAGGCGCGCAACCGAGGTTTCATGTAAGGGGAGCCTTGCGACGGTCGAGGACTACAAGTCAAGAAGTAAAGGACAGGGAGTGGCGGCTCCGGAGGGGAGCGGCCGCCAACCGTATATCGCGCGGGACGATGGACGTCGAGGGAGCGACTCCCGAGGCCCGAGGCGCGGCAGGAGGAGCGGAACTCCCGAGGGGCCACGCTGAGGCGGTCTGCCGGGCCGGGAGCAGCAGCGGACGACGGAGGAGGAGGGGCGGTGGCAGGTCAGGCTGCGCCAGGACCAAGAGGAGACGACAGCGCGATGGCATGCCCGTCTACAGGAGGCGGAACAGGAAGAGCAACGGTTGTGGGAGGAACCGGTGGAGGACCCCCAGATACGCGACCGAGGACCCCAGTCCGTGGCGGAAGGGCGAGGAGGAGGACGAGCCCTGCGCACCGTCCCCTCCGCGGTGGCTGCCGGAGGTGCCACCCACCCCCCGCTAAGAGGGGGCGTGGTTCACGAGCGAGGATCGGAATGGCGACGGAGTAGCCACGCCGCCGTGAATGAATTCCCGAAAAAGCACGGGGCCAAGAAGTTGATTTTTGGACATTGCTGGAACAAGAAAAGGGCATACATGGGCCGCACCAGCAACCTGAAATTCAAAGGGGCTTAATGCAGGAAGCAGAAAACGAACATCACAATACTTACCTGCTGTCCCAGTTGCGAAGCAATATGCGAAGTCCTCTCCGCACCCGCTCTCGAGTGTTGCCAGCATGGAGCCAGGAGCAGCCGGCTAAGGACGATTGAAGGGCGAGAGAGGACGAAAGGAAAGAGAAAGGATAAGATAGAAAGGAGTAAAGAAATGCGAAAACTTACCTACGAAAGTTGCAAAATAACCATGAGCTAGGGAAGGGAGCGCCTCGATTTGTAGGCGGTCGATTGTCACTGGACGATAGTGCGATCGATGGGTACACGCAAAATGGAAACATTGGCAAAAGGTGGAAATATCGCAACGGGCAGGTCGCAACGCCTCACTGTCGGTGTCGATAGTCGATGAAACATCGATTACGCACGGATAATGTGACAAAACGGAGGAACCATGGAAAGGAGTAGGACGCAGCAATGAGCAGCGAGCTGGAAACCGATAACCCATGAGTATCGATGTCCCAGTGGAAACATGTGAAATATCGGCGCGGGAGTTTTGAAGTTGCTACGAGGAGGACGACCAGCGCTGTAGAAACTCAATAAAGTTTAAAAGGACTCGAACGAGCATTTAAATGATTCCCGAAGTAAGAGGGAAATGTGAGGAGTTGAATAACTCCCCACAAATCTAAGCAGCAGCAGCAGCAGATGGCCGTCCGCTTACCAGATACGCGGCGAATTCGAGTAGTAACGGCGCGGTTGGAGAAGAAGAGAGATTGGAGACCAAGGATAGAGAATAAGAAGAATAATGTTGGAGTAAGAGAGAGTTTGGAGTAAAAGAGTTTGGAGATCGATGTGGGAGAAAGAGAAAGTTTGAAGACCAAGGATTGAGTATAAGAGAGGTTGGTGACCAAGGAGCGGAGAATGAGAGAGTGCCACACACCCGCTGTATTAATAACACGAGAACAAAACCCACTGTTACCATTCGAACGCTGTGTTTTCTCACTGATCTACGGGGCAGTCATGTCATATAAACTTGGTGGGACGAACACACAATCTTCTGAGCTAGTCGCACGAATCTCGTAGCGAGCAGGCCAACAAAATCAGTTCGTTACATCTGGCGCCCAACATGATTGTCCCAACAGTGAGAACAACACAATAAAAATGGGAAAAACAAGTCGGAACCGAGAAATGGTGTGCTGGACACGAGATAATAATACCAGCCAGGAACCGACACAATAGATGGCTCGAGGAGAAGCGAATGATACAACAGCTTTCCTGCAAGCAGAGCTGGTAGACTTTAGCACAATGACAGCAAAATGAAGGACGACAAGCCATTCAAGCAGTGATATTACTCCAAGAACCCAAAAATCCAAGGGGAAATCAACGCAAAGGTGGACGAGCTTCTGCAGAGAGAGCATTTAAAGAGCCCATACAGCTCCCCCATTGTGATGGTGAAAAAGAAGACAGGCAAGTGAAGTCTGTGTGTCGACTTCATACAGATCAATACGAAGTCAGTGAAGGATGTGTACCCAATGCACCGCATAAACTACATCCTAGATAAACTAAGGGAAGCGCGGTACATCAGCAGCTTGGACCTGAAGGATGGATACTGGCAGATCCCACTGGAAGAAAATAGCAGGCAATACACGGCGTTCACGGTACCAGGCAAAGGTCTATTTCAGTGGAGGGTAATGCCGTTCGGACTCCACTCGGCGTCGGCAACGTTTCAGTAGGTTTTGGACCAAGTAATTGGCCCCGAGATGTCACCTCACGCATTCGCTTACCAGGATGACCCAATAGTGATCGGTCGCACGCTGGAAGGACACATGAGAAACCTAAGAGAAGTGTTCCGGCGCCTAAAGGAAGCAAATCTGAGACTGAATCCAGAAAAATATCAATTTTTTAAGAAGAAACTGCTGTACCCGGGACATCGAGTGACTAGCGAGAGAATAGAAACAGGTCCAGAAAAAGAAGCGGGCATCGCTGAACTGGAACCACCATCAAACGCCAAAGAGCTCCGGCAATACCTAGGAGTAGCGTCGCGGTACCGCTGGTTTGTACCAGATTTTTCCAGATTCGTCAAACCTCTGAGTGACCTGCTACGCAATGGCATCAAGTGGGAGTGAACACCAGAGCACCAGATGGCGTTTGAGGAAGTAAAGGTAGGACTCATGGCGGACCCGGTGCTAGCATGCCCGGACTTCAGTAGAACTTACATCTTGCAAACAGACGCCTTCATAGACACGCCCACGTAAGAAAATGCGAGACTTGCATGCGGTTTAAGCCCAATCAAATGCAGGCGGCCAGGAAGATGTTGAACCAAGTGCCGGAGGAACCATGGGCCACGGTATGTGCAGACATCGTTGGAACCCTACCAAAATCTATGCACAGGAACCAAAAGCTGCTGGCCATGATAGACAGATTTCCACTGCGCAGTGCGACAGCAGAGTCGCTCAAGAAGGCGTTTAGGGAGCGCATAATCGCAAGGTACGGGGTCCCGAAGGTGGTCATAACAGACAACGGAGTGCAGTTAGAAAGCCAAAAGAATCCGTCCGAACGAGAAAACAGAACAGTCAAGACCATGATTGCGCAATTCGCAGGGCAGAACCAGAGAAACTGGGACGAGAAGTGGCTTGAGATTATGCTAGCAGTGAACACGAGCACATCAGAATCCACCGGCCATACATCGGCGTTTTTTACCCAGGGCAGGGCACTGGACGAGCACCGGAGACCCCCGAGCCAAACGCCGATACTGAGGGAGGTATTTGAGATCGTACGGCGAAATATGAAAAAGCGGCTGAAGGATTCGCTTCAGGATTCGTCTCTCCAGTGATCTGCAAAATACGCCACACACGTTCAAAGAAAGAACGGACCGTTCACGTTGGCGAGCTAAAGCAACAACACAATGAACAGGATTACGCCAGGCGGAAAGGACGCTTACGAGGACGGCACAAGGATACGGGTAACGATAAGGAATCCACCCGCAAGGAAACAGGATTCAGCATCGGGCATTTGCTAGAGTCATCCGTGATTACGCCAGGCGGAAAGGACACTTACGAGGACGACAAAAGGATACGGGTTACGATAAGGGACCCACCCGCAGGGCAACAGGATTAAGCGTCGGGCTTTTGCCAGAATTATCAGTGGTTACGCCAGGCGGGAAGGACACTGACAAGGACGGCACAACAACAGTAGCAAAAGCAAATCAATCAAACAGGAAGGATACCCCAAGGATACCGTAAGGATACCCCAACGATACCCCAAGGAAACCCGAAGGATACCCAAAGGATACCCGAAGGATATCCTAAGGATACCCCAAGGATTCCCGAAGGATACTCTAAGGATACCCCAAGGATACACCAAAGATACCCCAACGATACTCCAAGGATTCCCTTAGTATAGCCGTAGTATACCCTAAGGATACTCCAACGATAACTTAAGGATACCCGAAGGATACCCCAAGGATACTCCAATGATACCCCAAGGATACTCTAAAGACTCCAAGGATACCGCCCAGGAACGCCCCATGGATACTCCAAGGATACCGCCCAGGAACGCCCCGAAGGATACCCTCCAAGGACAACCTTCAGGGATACTCAGCAAGGGTGATCAAAGTTAGGGTCTCAAAGCAAGTTAGTTAGGGAACTCAGAGGAACAACGAACCGCAGCATTCAGAGTGCCACTATGATCTGACGGAGTACAACGTTTGTGTTTTACGAAGGAAGGGGGAATACGGCACAGCAAAGAGAGCTGTACCGCAAGAGAGCAAGCGCCCCAGGAAAGGACATAACGGTGTCGATCAAAGAGAAAGGCGCGCAACCGAGGTTTCATGTAAGGGGAGCCTTGCGACGGTCGAGGACTACAAGTCAAGAAGTAAAGGACAGGGAGTGGCGGCTCCGGAGGGGAGCGGCCGCCAACCGTATATCGCGCGGGACGATGGACGTCGAGGGAGCGACTCCCGAGGCCCGAGGCGCGGCAGGAGGAGCGGAACTCCCGAGGGGCCACGCTGAGGCGGTCTGCCGGGCCGGGAGCAGCAGCGGACGACGGAGGAGGAGGGGCGGTGGCAGGTCAGGCTGCGCCAGGACCAAGAGGAGACGACAGCGCGATGGCATGCCCGTCTACAGGAGGCGGAACAGGAAGAGCAACGGTTGTGGGAGGAACCGGTGGAGGACCCCCAGATACGCGACCGAGGACCCCAGTCCGTGGCGGAAGGGCGAGGAGGAGGACGAGCCCTGCGCACCGTCCCCTCCGCGGTGGCTGCCGGAGGTGCCACCCACCCCCCGCTAAGAGTGGGCGTGGTTCACGAGCGAGGATCGGAATGGCGACGGAGTAGCCACGCCGCCGTGAATGAATTCCCGAAAAAGCACGGGGCCAAGAAGTTGATTTTTGGACATTGCTGGAACAAGAAAAGGGCATACATGGGCCGCACCAGCAACCTGAAATTCAAAGGGGCTTAATGCAGGAAGCAGAAAACGAACATCACAATACTTACCTGCTGTCCCAGTTGCGAAGCAATATGCGAAGTCCTCTCCGCACCCGCTCTCGAGTGTTGCCAGCATGGAGCCAGGAGCAGCCGGCTAAGGACGATTGAAGGGCGAGAGAGGACGAAAGGAAAGAGAAAGGATAAGATAGAAAGGAGTAATGAAATGCGAAAACTTACCTACGAAAGTTGCAAAATAACCATGAGCTAGGGAAGGGAGCGCCTCGATTTGTAGGCGGTCGATTGTCACTGGACGATAGTGCGATCGATGGGTACACGCAAAATGGAAACATTGGCAAAAGGTGGAAATATCGCAACGGGCAGGTCGCAACGCCTCACTGTCGGTGTCGATAGTCGATGAAACATCGATTACGCACGGATAATGTGACAAAACGGAGGAACCATGGAAAGGAGTAGGACGCAGCAATGAGCAGCGAGCTGGAAACCGATAACCCATGAGTATCGATGTCCCAGTGGAAACATGTGAAATATCGGCGCGGGAGTTTTGAAGTTGCTACGAGGAGGACGACCAGCGCTGTAGAAACTCAATAAAGTTTAAAAGGACTCGAACGAGCATTTAAATGATTCCCGAAGTAAGAGGGAAATGTGAGGAGTTGAATAACTCCCCACAAATCTAAGCAGCAGCAGCAGCAGATGGCCGTCCGCTTACCAGATACGCGGCGAATTCGAGTAGTAACGGCGCGGTTGGAGAAGAAGAGAGATTGGAGACCAAGGATAGAGAATAAGAAGAATAATGTTGGAGTAAGAGAGAGTTTGGAGTAAAAGAGTTTGGAGATCGATGTGGGAGAAAGAGAAAGTTTGAAGACCAAGGATTGAGTATAAGAGAGGTTGGTGACCAAGGAGCGGAGAATGAGAGAGTGCCACACACCCGCTGTATTAATAACACGAGAACAAAACCCACTGTTACCATTCGAACGCTGTGTTTTCTCACTGATCTACGGGGCAGTCATGTCATATAAACTTGGTGGGACGAACACACAATCTTCTGAGCTAGTCGCACGAATCTCGTAGCGAGCAGGCCAACAAAATCAGTTCGTTACATCTGGCGCCCAACATGATTGTCCCAACAGTGAGAACAACACAATAAAAATGGGAAAAACAAGTCGGAACCGAGAAATGGTGTGCTGGACACGAGATAATAATACCAGCCAGGAACCGACACAATAGATGGCTCGAGGAGAAGCGGATGATACAACAGCTTTCCTGCAAGCAGAGCTGGTAGACTTTAGCACAATGACAGCAAAATGAAGGACGACAAGCCATTCAAGCAGTGATATTACTCCAAGAACCCAAAAATCCAAGGGGAAATCAACGCAAAGGTGGACGAGCTTCTGCAGAGAGAGCATTTAAAGAGCCCATACAGCTCCCCCATTGTGATGGTGAAAAAGAAGACAGGCAAGTGAAGTCTGTGTGTCGACTTCATACAGATCAATACGAAGTCAGTGAAGGATGTGTACCCAATGCACCGCATAAACTACATCCTAGATAAACTAAGGGAAGCGCGGTACATCAGCAGCTTGGACCTGAAGGATGGATACTGGCAGATCCCACTGGAAGAAAATAGCAGGCAATACACGGCGTTCACGGTACCAGGCAAAGGTCTATTTCAGTGGAGGGTAATGCTGTTCGGACTCCACTCGGCGTCGGCAACGTTTCAGTAGGTTTTGGACCAAGTAATTGGCCCCGAGATGTCACCTCACGCATTCGCTTACCAGGATGACCCAATAGTGATCGGTCGCACGCTGGAAGGACACATGAGAAACCTAAGAGAAGTGTTCCGGCGCCTAAAGGAAGCAAATCTGAGACTGAATCCAGAAAAATATCAATTTTTTAAGAAGAAACTGCTGTACGCGGGACATCGAGTGACTAGCGAGAGAATAGAAACAGGTCCAGAAAAAGAAGCGGGCATCGCTGAACTGGAACCACCATCAAACGCCAAAGAGCTCCGGCAATACCTAGGAGTAGCGTCGCGGTACCGCTGGTTTGTACCAGATTTTTCCAGATTCGTCAAACCTCTGAGTGACCTGCTACGCAATGGCATCAAGTGGGAGTGAACACCAGAGCACCAGATGGCGTTTGAGGAAGTAAAGGTAGGACTCATGGCGGACCCGGTGCTAGCATGCCCGGACTTCAGTAGAACTTACATCTTGCAAACAGACGCCTTCATAGACACGCCCACGTAAGAAAATGCGAGACTTGCATGCGGTTTAAGCCCAATCAAATGCAGGCGGCCAGGAAGATGTTGAACCAAGTGCCGGAGGAACCATGGGCCACGGTATGTGCAGACATCGTTGGAACCCTACCAAAATCTATGCACAGGAACCAAAAGCTGCTGGCCATGATAGACAGATTTCCACTGCGCAGTGCGACAGCAGAGTCTCTCAAGAAGGCGTTTAGGGAGCGCATAATCGCAAGGTACGGGGTCCCGAAGGTGGTCATAACAGACAACGGAGTGCAGTTAGAAAGCCAAAAGAATCCGTCCGAACGAGAAAACAGAACAGTCAAGACCATGATTGCGCAATTCGCAGGGCAGAACCAGAGAAACTGGGACGAGAAGTGGCTTGAGATTATGCTAGCAGTGAACACGAGCACATCAGAATCCACCGGCCATACATCGGCGTTTTTTACCCAGGGCAGGGCACTGGACGAGCACCGGAGACCCCCGAGCCAAACGCCGATACTGAGGGAGGTATTTGAGATCGTACGGCGAAATATGAAAAAGCGGCTGAAGGATTCGCTTCAGGATTCGTCTCTCCAGTGATCTGCAAAATACGCCACACACGTTCAAAGAAAGAACGGACCGTTCACGTTGGCGAGCTAAAGCAACAACACAATGAACAGGATTACGCCAGGCGGAAAGGACGCTTACGAGGACGGCACAAGGATACGGGTAACGATAAGGAATCCACCCGCAAGGAAACAGGATTCAGCATCGGGCATTTGCTAGAGTCATCCGTGATTACGCCAGGCGGAAAGGACACTTACGAGGACGACAAAAGGATACGGGTTACGATAAGGGACCCACCCGCAGGGCAACAGGATTAAGCGTCGGGCTTTTGCCAGAATTATCAGTGGTTACGCCAGGCGGGAAGGACACTGACAAGGACGGCACAACAACAGTAGCAAAAGCAAATCAATCAAACAGGAAGGATACCCCAAGGATACCGTAAGGATACCCCAACGATACCCCAAGGAAACCCGAAGGATACCCGAAGGATACCCGAAGGATACCCGAAGGATATCCTAAGGATACCCCAAGGATTCCCGAAGGATACTCTAAGGATACCCCAAGGATACACCAAAGATACCCCAACGATACTCCAAGGATTCCCTTAGTATAGCCGTAGTATACCCTAAGGATACTCCAACGATAACTTAAGGATACCCGAAGGATACCCCAAGATACTCCAATGATACCCCAAGGATACTCTAAGGACTCCAAGGATACCGCCCAGGAACGCCCCATGGATACTCCAAGGATACCGCCCAGGAACGCCCCGAAGGATACCCTCCAAGGACAACCTTCAGGGATACTCAGCAAGGGTGATCAAAGTTAGGGTCTCAAAGCAAGTTAGTTAGGGAACTCAGAGGAACAACGAACCGCAGCATTCAGAGTGCCACTATGATCTGACGGAGTACAACGTTTGTGTTTTACGAAGGAAGGGGGAATACGGCACAGCAAAGAGAGCTGTACCGCAAGAGAGCAAGCGCCCCAGGAAAGGACATAACGGTGTCGATCAAAGAGAAAGGCGCGCAACCGAGGTTTCATGTAAGGGGAGCCTTGCGACGGTCGAGGACTACAAGTCAAGAAGTAAAGGACAGGGAGTGGCGGCTCCGGAGGGGAGCGGCCGCCAACCGTATATCGCGCGGGACGATGGACGTCGAGGGAGCGACTCCCGAGGCCCGAGGCGCGGCAGGAGGAGCGGAACTCCCGAGGGGCCACGCTGAGGCGGTCTGCCGGGCCGGGAGCAGCAGCGGACGACGGAGGAGGAGGGGCGGTGGCAGGTCAGGCTGCGCCAGGACCAAGAGGAGACGACAGCGCGATGGCATGCCCGTCTACAGGAGGCGGAACAGGAAGAGCAACGGTTGTGGGAGGAACCGGTGGAGGACCCCCAGATACGCGACCGAGGACCCCAGTCCGTGGCGGAAGGGCGAGGAGGAGGACGAGCCCTGCGCACCGTCCCCTCCGCGGTGGCTGCCGGAGGTGCCACCCACCCCCCGCTAAGAGGGGGCGTGGTTCACGAGCGAGGATCGGAATGGCGACGGAGTAGCCACGCCGCCGTGAATGAATTCCCGAAAAAGCACGGGGCCAAGAAGTTGATTTTTGGACATTGCTGGAACAAGAAAAGGGCATACATGGGCCGCACCAGCAACCTGAAATTCAAAGGGGCTTAATGCAGGAAGCAGAAAACGAACATCACAATACTTACCTGCTGTCCCAGTTGCGAAGCAATATGCGAAGTCCTCTCCGCACCCGCTCTCGAGTGTTGCCAGCATGGAGCCAGGAGCAGCCGGCTAAGGACGATTGAAGGGCGAGAGAGGACGAAAGGAAAGAGAAAGGATAAGATAGAAAGGAGTAAAGAAATGCGAAAACTTACCTACGAAAGTTGCAAAATAACCATGAGCTAGGGAAGGGAGCGCCTCGATTTGTAGGCGGTCGATTGTCACTGGACGATAGTGCGATCGATGGGTACACGCAAAATGGAAACATTGGCAAAAGGTGGAAATATCGCAACGGGCAGGTGGCAACGCCTCACTGTCGGTGTCGATAGTCGATGAAACATCGATCACGCACGGATAATGTGACCAAACGCCGGAGAGTAGGAACGAGCTTTTAAATTCCCACAAATCTAAGCAGCAGCAGAAACAGATGGCCGGCCACTTACCAGATACGCGGCGAATTCGAGTAGTAACGGCGCGGCGAGGAGCGGTTGGAGAAAACGAGAGTTTGGAGACCAAGGATGGAGAATAAAGAGAATAAGGATAAGGTATGAGAGAGTTTGGAGACCAAGGATGGAGAATAAGACAGTTTGGAGACCAATGTGGGAGAATAAGAGAGTTAGGAGACCAAGGATGGAGTATGAGAGGGGTTGGCGACCAAGGAGCGGAGAATGAGAGAGTGGAAACTTGGCGGGCAGAGCAAGAGTGCCATGTGCAAGAGGGGATAACGGAACTCCTCCGGACTTTGGACTCGGCCGTGACCTTTGGACCGGGAGAAGAAGTGCCACATCTCGGCATCGGAGCGGCACACAGGCGTGCCACATGCGTCACGGGAACCAGCGGGACGGCAGCAGTGGGCAGAACCTCGGTTGGAAGCTGTGCGTAGAGGACAGGTGGGTCAAACGGAAGTCAAGGACTTTGGACCCGGAGTGGAGAGACTTAGCGGGCCGTGCGCAATAGGGAAATAACGGTTCCCGGAGGCCCTATATAGGGCGGCAAAGCGCTGGCAGCTGGATCAGTCGATCACGGGGAGTCAATCCATCAAGATCAGTCAAGAAACCCAAGTGAAAAGTCGTCAACCTAGTAAACTACAAGGAAGCCACCACAAGGCGAGTCGTCGGAAGCAGCGCTGTGGGAAGCCTACAAGGAGCAAGATCGCCAAGTCGAGACGTTCGGGATTGCATCAGCAATCTCCGAATTGAGACCCAAGAATTGCCCAAGTACACGCAAGATAGGAAACAGCGCAGAGGCCATCGGCAGCGAAGCCAGCAGCCATCACCGGCATCCACGTCACCATTACGGCGCGGAGCTCATTGGGGAGCGCAGGAGCGTCGCAGACGTCAAGCATTAGGGTGAAGCCGGGTGGAACGTTCGTCTGCGCTAGGCGTAAAGCAAAGTAAGCGGCTAGGCCTTGACTGTCAGCGCAATCTGAGCAAGAACATAGCGGGACCGTCCGGGACAGAGCAAGGGACAGAGCAGGGTACAGCAGAGCAGGTGCCCTGGAGAGCAAGGCTTGTTCACCCTAGCCTGAGAACGGTGACGCTTCCCTAAGCCCGCAAGGCCGAATTCTCTGCGAGTCCAAGGCGCAACAGGCGACCCCGAGGCAGCGCGTCGGCATGCGAGCATAGGCGGCCACTACGAGCATCCCGAGGCACAGGTGTAGTATGCATGTATCATTGTAGCAAGTACCCACTGAACCGACACCAACATTGTGTTACGGTGTACTTTAACAAATACAAAAGTGCCGGCCGCTAAACTTTTGCGGCCAGCCGAAATATGAATGCGCCTCAGAGCCCTGCTTATGGGAAGTGCTACTGTCAGCATATTCCCATGGCCTGAGTGCAGACACATACAAGGCATGCATGTACATCTTCTCTCGCGCTCTCAGTGCTACCAGCACAAATACAATTGCGAGCATATACTTCGACATATATGACGGCCGCTGCCAATGTTTGCAGGCAGCGCATCCGCAACAAGCTAGCTGTAATTCATTCATATTTTGACCATTCCTGAATAAAGATCAGCCCATGGCAGTTATAACAAATGACAATTCTTTTAATGAAAATATAATGGCAAATATAATACAGGAGCCACCGGTCGTCAAGTCAGCGCATCGACAAGCCAGGACGAGGAACATCAGCAGCCTGTGGAACCAAAGCGAGGAGATACCGAGGCCAGCCCAGCCACACACCCGCTGTATTAATAACACGAGAATAAAACCCACTGTTACCATTCGAACCCTGTGTTTTCTCACTGATCTACGGGGCAGTCACGTCATATAAATTTGGTGGGACGAACACACAATCTTCTGAGCTAGCCGCACGAATCTCGTAGCGAGCAGACCAACAAAATCAGTTCGTTACAAGTTCTTCAGGACCTGGGCCAATGTTTAAGGAAGGCGATGACCAATGGGAAAATCAATTTAACCAAACATAAAGCTAGGCTTACTAACAATAATTGTCCTTTAACAGAAAACCTAAATAACACTATTTAATTAAAATAATTTTAAAAGTAAATAAAAATGTATGTATTTTAAATACTATATTTTCATAAGTGATTTCAGGTGATTTCATAAGTGTAATTTTATCAAAAATGCTCTGATTTTCACAAGTGATTTCACTTGTTTCAGTGATTTCATTGATTTCACTTACTACAAATGAGTAAAGGGACAAGTGAAAATTTTCATTTGTATTTTCACTTGTGAAAAAGCGGTACAATTTTCTATATGGAGTGTCAGTTGTTCTTCACTCGTGCAAGGGGGCATGTCCCGCGGTATTCACAAGAGAAACTTTTCTTTTTGGACTGAAGGAAAGTCAGAGATGCCAGCAAATAAACTTTATGATGTTGATATCCCAAACTCTAATGGCGATAAGGACGAAAATAAAGATCTTAATATATGTTTATGCACTTCTTCGATTCCTATTAGGTATGACAAAAGTCGTATCCAAGCTACATTAAAATGTGTTCAAAAAACTTGTCGTCTTGGCAATACAGGTTTAAATGCTGACGTGGAAGTGGTGAATATAGACCCAAATCGGGTTCGCTTACCAACGTCCTTTTAAATTTTAATTTCTAAAATAAAAATTCAGAATTTCTTAGAAATAGTTTTAAGAAAATTAATTTAATTTCTAAAATAAAAATTCAGAATTTCTTTGAAATAGTTTTCAGAAAAAGAGTATAGAGCATTAGAGAACATTTTTTGTCAGTTAATAATGTGTGTACAATTTGCGATTTAATAGGAATCTTTTTGTGCCTTTGCATATTGCCAAGATCCCGCTTGTAACTTTTACAAATTTCAGGGCTCTTTTAATGAAAATGTTATAATTTATTTAATTTAACATACGATATTGCTCGATTTTTAGATAAATATGTTTTGTTCAAGTTCAAGCTGTCAATATGCAATCGCATCACAACCGATATAAATATCGCTTTTATTCAGGCAATTTTACGCCATTCAGCCATTTAGCCATTTAACGAACTAGATATTGTTACATACAATACAATGTGCTTCCGCTTTTTATAGGGCGAAGTAACTTATTTCCCAGTGTATGCGTTCCATTTTTTACAAGTCATTATGCCAAAATAATGTATGCTCTTAATTATCAGATAATAGCTTTTCCAGTTTTGATTTGAGTCAGCATGATGTTTCTGCTGTGTTAAATCTAAAAAGCAGAGGAGATTCTTTGCATACCATTGCAGGTCAGAGTGAATTTAAAACTACATATACGTCCAATACGCTGGATATCAGTGAAAAGATATCAGGGCAACTAGAATGCAATCCAACATATATCATCATCCTGGAGTGGTAGTTTTAATTTTGGGAAATATATGGTTTTTAGACAAAAGCTAAGGGGATATTTATTGATGTTAACAAAAAGAAGGCCCAGCAACGCTCCAATTGAGTCATTTTTTAAAACATTGAAACACTGTGTCATTAGGTCAAAACAATGGTTAAAGTTATGAAGGTTCACCCGAAAAATGAACTACCACTTAAGCTGTGTAGTTCGGCAAGGTAATCTTGCCAAACCGGTATATTCTTGTTCTCCTCTTACTCACGGTAAGGTTATAAAGGTGATGCATAAAAAACCGACCTTAAAAAGGACAGTTCTTAAGTAATTGTCGAAAAAATCTGTCAGCAGTTAAGGAAAGTTGACAGAAAAGAGGCATTAAGAAACTTAATTGTAGGGCGCTTGTCGTTAAAGTGTGTCGTCGTATTCGGCCAAAAAGCTTGTGGGATGGCTTGGAGCCGAGCTGAAGTCTACAGAACGGGTCGAAGGTTGCCGATAACGAGCGCCCTGGTTCTCCAGGGTAGCTACCAGTAAGCGTGCAAGTTGGTACGGCCCGCAAGCGTAAATAAGTAGTCCCGGACAGTCAGCGGGTACCTGCGCCGTAGCAGTACCGACGTCGCGCTTGTGCTGCCGCCTCCGACAAATAGCTCACACACACCCCCCTCCCCACAAACAAAACCTACCTCTTCATTATCCCCCCACATTCATCTCACCCAGGGCTGGACTTAGGTGTCACTCGTATCGTGCCGAGAGTCGATCTGGCTGGGAGCCCGAGTCAACAAATAACAAAGTCCCGAACGGTGGGCTCAGGCAAGTGGCGATCGCCTGTTCTAAGTCAGCCTTACCCGGGTACACCGGATCTCACACTAGACACTCTTACAAAGTAGGAAGTCGCAGCCGGCGACGACCAGAAGAGCGTGGGTGTCGCACCGAAAGCCCACATCCAAGCAACATCTACACCAGCGAGGGTCGGCGGACAAGGCCGCCGACTAGCCCCGAACGCCGCAAGGTCCAGCCCAAACCACCCACCAGCGCAGAGGCGTCTAACCAGCAAATCCAACCTGAGGGGAGTGCCATGGCTGATCTTGTGGTAAGCACCAGGGCCAAGGAGTTTAAGAGAAAACCACCGAAAAAGTCAGGACCTCTCAAACGGAAGAAGGCGTACCGCATATTCAAACGTCTGACCACCAACCCCATAAGAGAGGACCAGGCGTCAGCGGAGGGTCACCAAAAAAATCCAAGAGGATATATAGCCACGCCGCCGTGAATGAATTCCCGAAAAGGCACGGGGCCAAGCAGTTGATTTTTGGACATTGCTGGAACAAGAAAAGGGCATACATGGGCCGCACCAGCAACCTGAAATTCAAAGGGGCTTAATGCAGGAAGCAGAAAACGAACATCACAATACTTACCTGCTGTCCCAGTTGCGAAGCAATATGCGAAGTCCTCTCCGCACCCGCTCTCGAGTGTTGCCAGCATGGAGCCAGGAGCAGCCGGCTAAGGACGATTGAAGGGCGAGAGAGGACGAAAGGAAAGAGAAAGGATAAGATAGAAAGGAGTAAAGAAATGCGAAAACTTACCTACGAAAGTTGCAAAATAACCATGAGCTAGGGAAGGGAGCGCCTCGATTTGTAGGCGGTCGATTGTCACTGGACGATAGTGCGATCGATGGGTACACGCAAAATGGAAACATTGGCAAAAGGTGGAAATATCGCAACGGGCAGGTGGCAACGCCTCACTGTCGGTGTCGATAGTCGATGAAACATCGATCACGCACGGATAATGTGACCAAACGCCGGAGAGTAGGAACGAGCTTTTAAATTCCCACAAATCTAAGCAGCAGCAGAAACAGATGGCCGGCCACTTACCAGATACGCGGCGAATTCGAGTAGTAACGGCGCGGCGAGGAGCGGTTGGAGAAAACGAGAGTTTGGAGACCAAGGATGGAGAATAAAGAGAATAAGGATAAGGTATGAGAGAGTTTGGAGACCAAGGATGGAGAATAAGACAGTTTGGAGACCAATGTGGGAGAATAAGAGAGTTAGGAGACCAAGGATGGAGTATGAGAGGGGTTGGCGACCAAGGAGCGGAGAATGAGAGAGTGGAAACTTGGCGGGCAGAGCAAGAGTGCCATGTGCAAGAGGGGATAACGGAACTCCTCCGGACTTTGGACTCGGCCGTGACCTTTGGACCGGGAGAAGAAGTGCCACATCTCGGCATCGGAGCGGCACACAGGCGTGCCACATGCGTCACGGGAACCAGCGGGACGGCAGCAGTGGGCAGAACCTCGGTTGGAAGCTGTGCGTAGAGGACAAGTGGGTCAAACGGAAGTCACGGACTTTGGACCCGGAGTGGAGAGACTTAGCGGGCCGTGCGCAATAGGGAAATAACGGTTCCCGGAGGCCCTATATAGGGCGGCAAAGCGCTGGCAGCTGGATCAGTCGATCACGGGGAGTCAATCCATCAAGATCAGTCAAGAAACCCAAGTGAAAAGTCAGTCAACCTAGTAAACTACAAGGAAGCCACCACAAGGCGAGTCGTCGGAAGCAGCGCTGTGGGAAGCCTACAAGGAGCAAGATCGCCAAGTCGAGACGTTCGGGATTGCATCAGCAATCTCCGAATTGAGACCCAAGAATTGCCCAAGTACACGCAAGACAGGAAACAGCGCAGAGGCCATCGGCAGCGAAGCCAGCAGCCATCACCGGCATCCACGTCACCATTACGGCGCGGAGCTCATTGGGGAGCGCAGGAGCGTCGCAGACGTCAAGCATTAGGGTGAAGCCGGGTGGAACGTTCGTCTGCGCTAGGCGTAAAGCAAAGTAAGCGGCTAGGCCTTGACTGTCAGCGCAATCTGAGCAAGAACATAGACCGTCCGGGACAGAGCAAGGGACAGAGCAGGGTACAGCAGAGCAGGTGCCCTGGAGAGCAAGGCTTGTTCACCCTAGCCTGAGAACGGTGACGCTTCCCTAAGCCCGCAAGGCCGAATTCTCTGCGAGTCCAAGGCGCAACAGGCGACCCCGAGGCAGCGCGTCGGCATGCGAGCATAGGCGGCCACTACGAGCATCCCGAGGCACAGGTGTAGTATGCATGTATCATTGTAGCAAGTACCCACTGAACCGACACCAACATTGTGTTACGGTGTACTTTAACAAATACAAAAGTGCCGGCCGCTAAACTTTTGCGGCCAGCCGAAATATGAATGCGCCTCAGAGCCCTGCTTATGGGAAGTGCTACTGTCAGCATATTCCCATGGCCTGAGTGCAGACACATACAAGGCATGCATGTACATCTTCTCTCGCGCTCTCAGTGCTACCAGCACAAATACAATTGCGAGCATATACTTCGATATATATGACGGCCGCTGCCAATGTTTGCAGGCAGCGCATCCGCAACAAGCTAGCTGTAATTCATTCATATTTTGACCATTCCTGAATAAAGATCAGCCCATGGCAGTTATAACAAATGACAATTCTTTTAATGAAAATATAATGGCAAATATAATACAGGAGCCACCGGTCGTCAAGTCAGCGCATCGACAAGCCAGGACGAGGAACATCAGCAGCCTGTGGAACCAAAGCGAGGAGATACCGAGGCCAGCCCAGCCACACACCCGCTGTATTAATAACACGAGAATAAAACCCACTGTTACCATTCGAACCCTGTGTTTTCTCACTGATCTACGGGGCAGTCACGTCATATAAATTTGGTGGGACGAACACACAATCTTCTGAGCTAGCCGCACGAATCTCGTAGCGAGCAGACCAACAAAATCAGTTCGTTACAAGTTCTTCAGGACCTGGGCCAATGTTTAAGGAAGGCGATGACCAATGGGAAAATCAATTTAACCAAACATAAAGCTAGGCTTACTAACAATAATTGTCCTTTAACAGAAAACCTAAATAACACTATTTAATTAAAATGATTTTAAAAGTAAATAAAAATGTATGTATTTTAAATACTATATTTTCATAAGTGATTTCAGGTGATTTCATAAGTGTAATTTTATCAAAAATGCTCTGATTTTCACAAGTGATTTCACTTGTTTCAGTGATTTCATTGATTTCACTTACTACAAATGAGTAAAGGGACAAGTGAAAATTTTCATTTGTATTTTCACTTGTGAAAAAGCGGTACAATTTTCTATATGGAGTGTCAGTTGTTCTTCACTCGTGCAAGGGGGCATGTCCCGCGGTATTCACAAGAGAAACTTTTCTTTTTGGACTGAAGGAAAGTCAGAGATGCCAGCAAATAAACTTTATGATGTTGATATCCCAAACTCTAATGGCGATAAGGACGAAAATAAAGATCTTAATATATGTTTATGCACTTCTTCGATTCCTATTAGGTATGACAAAAGTCGTATCCAAGCTACATTAAAATGTGTTCAAAAAACTTGTCGTCTTGGCAATACAGGTTTAAATGCTGACGTGGAAGTGGTGAATATAGACCCAAATCGGGTTCGCTTACCAACGTCCTTTTAAATTTTAATTTCTAAAATAAAAATTCAGAATTTCTTAGAAATAGTTTTAAGAAAATTAATTTAATTTCTAAAATAAAAATTCAGAATTTCTTTGAAATAGTTTTCAGAAAAAGAGTATAGAGCATTAGAGAACATTTTTTGTCAGTTAATAATGTGTGTACAATTTGCGATTTAATAGGAATCTTTTTGTGCCTTTGCATATTGCCAAGATCCCGCTTGTAACTTTTACAAATTTCAGGGCTCTTTTAATGAAAATGTTATAATTTATTTAATTTAACATACGATATTGCTCGATTTTTAGATAAATATGTTTTGTTCAAGTTCAAGCTGTCAATATGCAATCGCATCACAACCGATATAAATATCGCTTTTATTCAAGCAATTTTACGCCATTCAGCCATTTAGCCATTTAACGAACTAGATATTGTTACATACAATACAATGTGCTTCCGCTTTTTATAGGGCGAAGTAACTTATTTCCCAGTGTATGCGTTCCATTTTTTACAAGTCATTATGCCCAAATAATGTATGCTCTTAATTATCAGATAATAGCTTTTCCAGTTTTGATTTGAGTCAGCATGATGTTTCTGCTGTGTTAAATCTAAAAAGCAGAGGAGATTCTTTGCATACCATTGCAGGTCAGAGTGAATTTAAAACTACATATACGTCCAATACGCTGGATATCAGTGAAAAGATATCAGGGCAACTAGAATGCAATCCAACATATATCATCATCCTGGAGTGGTAGTTTTAATTTTGGGAAATATATGGTTTTTAGACAAAAGCTAAGGGGATATTTATTGATGTTAACAAAAAGAAGGCCCAGAAACGCTCCAATTGAGTCATTTTTTAAAACATTGAAACACTGTGTCATTAGGTCAAAACAATGGTTAAAGTTATGAAGGTTCACCCGAAAAATGAACTACCACTTAAGCTGTGTAGTTCGGCAAGGTAATCTTGCCAAACCGGTATATTCTTGTTCTCCTCTTACTCACGGTAAGGTTATAAAGGTGATGCATAAAAAACCGACCTTAAAAAGGACAGTTCTTAAGTAATTGTCGAAAAAATCTGTCAGCAGTTAAGGAAAGTTGACAGAAAAGAGGCATTAAGAAACTTAATTGTAGGGCGCTTGTCGTTAAAGTGTGTCGTCGTATTCGGCCAAAAAGCTTGTGGGATGGCTTGGAGCCGAGCTGAAGTCTACAGAACGGGTCGAAGGTTGCCGATAACGAGCGCCCTGGTTCTCCAGGGTAGCTACCAGTAAGCGTGCAAGTTGGTACGGCCCGCAAGCGTAAATAAGTAGTCCCGGACAGTCAGCGGGTACCTGCGCCGTAGCAGTACCGACGTCGCGCTTGTGCTGCCGCCTCCGACAAATAGCTCACACACACCCCCCTCCCCACAAACTAAACCTACCTCTTCATTATCCCCCCACATTCATCTCACCCAGGGCTGGACTTAGGTGTCACTCGTATCGTGCCGAGAGTCGATCTGGCTGGGAGCCCGAGTCAACAAATAACAAAGTCCCGAACGGTGGGCTCAGGCAAGTGGCGATCGCCTGTTCTAAGTCAGCCTTACCCGGGTACACCGGATCTCACACTAGACACTCTTACAAAGTAGGAAGTCGCAGCCGGCGACGACCAGAAGAGCGTGGGTGTCGCACCGAAAGCCCACATCCAAGCAACATCTACACCAGCGAGGGTCGGCGGACAAGGCCGCCGACTAGCCCCGAACGCCGCAAGGTCCAGCCCAAACCACCCACCAGCGCAGAGGCGTCTAACCAGCAAATCCAACCTGAGGGGAGTGCCATGGCTGATCTTGTGGTAAGCACCAGGGCCAAGGAGTTTAAGAGGAAACCACCGAAAAAGTCAGGACCTCTCAAACGGAAGAAGGCGTACCGCATATTCAAACGTCTGACCACCAACCCCATAAGAGAGGACCAGGCGTCAGCGGAGGGTCACCAAAAAAATCCAAGAGGATATAGTCTGGGCAAAGGCGGTCATCCCAGACATCGCTATGAGACCAAGCGACAGCAACAAGCGAGAGAGGTCGATGGAAGTAGCTCAACCAGCGAGCAAAAAAGCCAAAACAACCAACCGCGGCACATGGTCTAGATCCTTTACGAAAGTAGTAAATTATCGGAAGATCAATGGCGTCAATGTCCAGAACGATGAAGGCGTCAGGATCAAAAGAAATCATTCCGTCCCGACCGAGGGCGAGGGTGTGGCTGCCGTCTGAACCCTAAGAGCCAGAGGCTATTCTTAGCCTCTTGACAAGGTTGAATCCGATGCTTCTGACAGAATGTTGGAAAGTGGTTAAGGTAGAGAAAACCGAGCGCGTTACAATGAACGTGGTTATCCTCCTTAACCAGGCATGTCTGGCATGTCAGCGCAACACAACCGACTGAAGTATGGGTTCGACAAGGAGCAACTCCGCATCTATGATATGGACAAGCTAGCGGCGGACAACGTGGCTGCTTTAGCGTCCTATAAGCCCCAGAGCGGTATCGAGATGGAACACGATGAGACTAACCACATAGGGTACGTGTCAACCGATTCAGTGCTCTCCGAAAACCTAAAGCAGCTGTGCACACAGGCGCACTGTGCTTCAGGGCATAGTGGAGGAAGCGGAGGGTACCCAGTCCGATTTCAGCCCTCAAGATGGTGAGTTACTCCATGACTATCTCCTTCAACCAAATCTACTCATTCGCAA